AGAATAAAAAATTTGAAACGCACCTCGAATCAACAGGTAGCTTAAAGAAAGGTCTTAAAAATCTTAATACCACCAAACGATTGATATCCTATATAAAAGATGATATTAATGATAAAAAATATTGTCAAGATCTGATATCATAGAAAAGGTAACAACATTCTATAAAAATTTATACTCAGTAAAAGGTACTACTCCGGAAGTCGAAACGTCCTACCAGAACTCTACAACTCTAGCTAGATTCTCTACACTTGAATTAATAAAGAAAATTGAAAGTCTAAAGTCGGACAAAAGCAACGGGCCGGATGTAATCCCAAATGAAGCACTAAAATTGGGGAAAATTATACTAGCACCATACATAACAACACTATTTATCAAGATTCTAAACGATAGAGCAATAACGAAAGAATGGGCACAATCGGACATAATTTTACTCTACAGGAAAGGAGACCCTGCCGTTATTGGAAACTACCGACCAATAAGCTTACAATCAAATATGTACAAACTATTTGCTTCCCATCTTGAGGATCGCCTAGCAAAGTTCACAGAGAAATTTCAACCGCCGGAACAAGCAGGTTTCAGGAAAAACTTCTCAACAATAGATCACATCCACACTTTAAATTTGATTATAGAGAAATATATAGAGCACAATAGACCACTCTATCTGGCATTTATCGACTATGCAAAAGCCTTCGACTCTATATCACATACGAGCATGTGGAAAGCTCTAAATGAGTGCGAAGTACCATCGGAGACTATAGATCTTATAAAAGACATCTACTACAAAAGCAAAAGTCGTGTAAGGTTAGAGATACATGGCCCTGAAATAAACATTTGTAGAGGCGTCAGACAGGGTGACCCCCTGTCACCTAGAATTTTTATAACTGTGCTACAAAATATAATGAAAACTCTGAACTGGGAAAAGACAGGAATAAATATAAATAGCAAACTCCTCAGTAATCTTCGATTTGCGGATGACATCATACTCTTTTCCGAAACAGCATCTCAATTACAGAAAATGATTAATGAACTAAATAATGTAAGCAATACGATTGGCTTAGAACTAAATGCTACCAAAACTAAAGTCATGACGAACCACCATATTATACCAATAAGGGTCAATAACAATATATTAGAATACGTTCAAAGCTATGTTTACCTGGGACAGCAAGTATCTTTCTCTAAGACAAGACATGAAGATGAGGTTAAAAGACGAGTTAACATAACCTGGAATAAATTCTGGAGCAATAAAGAAACCCTAAAATCAAAGCTCCCTATAAAACTGAAGAAAAAAATAATGGATACATGTTTACTACCCTGCCTTACGTATGGCTGCCAAACATGGATATACAATAATAAGACTAAAAACAAAATACAAGTATGTCAAAGAGCAATGGAAAGGAGTATACTAAATATACAAAGAAAACACAGAAAAAGAAACACAGACGTAAGAAATACAACAAAAATAATAGATTCTTTGGAACATTCTCAAAAACAAAAATGGAAATGGGCGGGTCATATTGCGCGTATGGACAAAGAAAAATGGACACAGAGAGTAACTAACTGGCAAGGACCACCAAACAAAAGGAACAGAGATAGACCGAGAGAAAAATGGGTTGACGAAATAATAAGAAAAATCGGTGAAAATTGGATCACGAAGGCAAAGGACAGACAGACGTGGAAAAAATGGAGGAGGCCTTCACCCGTTAAGGTGTCCGTAATGAATTATGTTATGAATTTTGTACGTAAACTGATCTGAAAATTTATTTTATTTAATATTTTGAAATTTATATGAAATTTAAAAATTATTCGATTGTAAATTATTAATTCTAATAATTATGAATTGCATTATTTTGTTATATGCATGCATAATTATGTAAATCGTAATCTTAAGATACTATTGTTCTTTTGAAGTCATTCATTATGGAAATAAAGAAGGCTATATTATATTATGATTATAATCTTCATATACAATTCGCGACATTTGGTGAAGAATTATCTTATGATTTAGAGCCATTTCAGTCATTCGTTTCAGACATAATTTAATACTGGACTTTTACTTTACTATGACTTGTATGTGTCGGTCGAAAGCTTTTCTGTACAGTTTTTTTAAGGTCTTAAAATATTCTTCCACTTACAGCAAGAGTGCTAAACAGCATATAATATTCAGGTTGTCCCAAAACGTAACGATCAAACGAAAGGGGATTGTAGAACATGAAAGAACTATTCAAAAAAATTAAGCCCTATACCCAAATTGCGTGGTTTAAAATATAAAGGCTGATTTATAAATTTTCCAGGAAATCACCCTTTGCGTCAATATTTATGATGCTGAATCTGCAAATGAGGACCGATTTTAATTTTTTTTTCTGTTTTGTATAACCTGATATTTCTACTATACCTACTATTTTATTTTTCAATTATGATTTGGTAGAAATAAATACATAAAAATTCGTAAAAGTGTAAAAAAGGTAACATTACCGTTTTATCGAGAAAGTTGGTGCCTTCATACTGTAAAAAAATATTCACATATGGACCTGGCAACTGTATTCAAAAGTTGGCGCAATTAAGTATAATTAATGTTAAGAAAAATAATTCATTTTCACGCTGGTTTGACCGATTTCAAGCCTAATATCCATAGAAAGTAGTACCGGTACGTTGTATAGAAGACTTTAACTGATACTAACTTTAACTGGTACTGAAAAATAAAATAGTAGGTGTAGTAGAAATATCATTAGTCTACACAAAAAAGATTTTTTTTAAACCGGCCTCATTTGCAGATGCAGCATCGAAAATATTGACGTAAAGGTTTATTTTCTGGAAAATTTATAAATCATCCTTTAAACCACGTAATTTGGGTATAGAACTAATTTTTTTTGAATAGTTCTTCCATGGTCTACAACCCCTTTTCGTTTGATCGTTACGTTCTGGGAAATCTTGCACAGATTTCTAATAAAATTTTACTAAGCCTCGACGTAACTTTAATACGTCAGCCATTTAGCGTACTCCCGCTAAATGACGTATTGCAAGATTGAAAGCGAAGGAAAGAAGCCGTTAAAAGAAGGCTTTGAAATAAACCCTGCTCTTATTAGCCGAAACACTTATAATATACGTTAATTTAGTTTATTTATATGTAGGTCGTTAGAAATAAAAATATTATAAGATTGAACTGATTCCCCGAAAATTCCGTTACTGAGCAGGCAATATAATAGCAATAGCAATAAGTATTTTAATTTAATTGGAGCTCGTAATTAATGATGATGAATAGTAAATAAAACTCCAATTAATACTTGTTTAATTAAAACGTTGTGGTTTAAGCATTAATCTTTTACCAATGATTATACCAGGACCATTCGTTACAAATTGATCTTTTAACAAAATTTACAACAAATCTTCACAGTTCTTATCCTTTATATCATATATCTATTATATTACCTATATTGCTTCCAAATTTTTAAAATTTAACACAATATAGAAGCCTTTGTTTGTCTGCCATTTCAACTTACTGTTAAAGTGCTTATCCATCACTAGTTTCCTATTTCTATACCAAGCTTTTTTTATTAGATCATTAATTATAATTATTGAACACTAATCTAATTACAAGAAATGGCATTGGAAAAGAAGAAAATTGTACGTCCAAATACTACTATTTATATATGATAGTGATGGATAATCACTAGTTTTCCTATTTTTATACCAAGCTTTTTTTTATTAGATCATTAATTATAATTATTGAACACTAATTTAATTACAAGAAATGGCATTGGAAAAGAAGAAAATTGTACGTCCAAATACTACTATTTATATATGATAGTGATGGATAATCACTAGTTATCCTATTTTTATACCAAGCTTTTTTTTATTAGATCATTAATTATAATTATTGAACACTAATTTAATTACAAGAAATGGCATTGTAAAAGATGAAAATTGTACGTCCAAATACTACTATTTATATATGATAGTGATGGATAATCACTAGTTATCCTGTTTTTATACCAAGCTTTTTTTTATTAGATCATTAATTATAATTATTGAACACCAATCTAATTACAAGAAATGGCATTGGAAAAGATGAAAATTGTACGTCCAAATACTACTATTTATATATGATAGTGATGGATAATCACTAGTTATCCTATTTTTATACCAAGCTTTTTTTTATTAGATCATTAATTATAATTATTGAACACTAATCTAATTACAAGAAATGGCATTGGAAAAGAAGAAAATTGTACGTCCAAATACTACTATTTATATATGATAGTGATGGATAATCACTAGTTATCCTATTTTTATACCAAGCTTTTTTTTATTAGATCATTAATTATAATTATTGAACACTAATCTAATTACAAGAAATGGCATTGGAAAAGAAGAAAATTGTACGTCCAAATACTACTATTTATATATGATAGTGATGGATAATCACTAGTTATCCTATTTTTATACCAAGCTTTTCTTAGCATTAATAATAATTATTAAACACTAATTTAATTACAAGAAATGGCATAAGAAAGGAGGAACATTGTACGTCCAAAAGACAGATTATAAGTCTGACTATACAAAAAATATTATTATGTAATTGATGTAGTCCAAACCGTATTATTAAAATGTGATGAATAATCATTAACCAACAAATTTTTCAATAAATCAGAATATCAATATAGATATTCTCTTAAAGTATTGATATTCTATTTAGTATAAGTAATTACTACTTTTACGAGTAGTAACTACTTATATAAATAGTAGTATTTGATTATATTTGGAGCTTTAATGTCTAAAAAAAACACAAAATTTTTATATTTTATCATAATATATTTATAAACATTTTATAAATAGTTTGAAACGCAATTTAAGCGTTCGATTGGATCCAGGATGTGAAGCGAGAAACGCGAGCGTTGACACCAGGGTATCGGGCGAGAGCGCACTGGTGACCCCAGGAGCATACACCAACAATGACGTTGTTGTGGATAAGGGGGCCACCGGAGTCACCCTGGCACTGGTCACGACCGCCTACATCGAGCCATCCAGAACACAACATGTTGTCTGTGACAGTCTATGCCTATTTCAGCGTAACGGGTTCTGCATGTAGCTTGGTTGACAGTCCAGACATGGACATGGCGCAGTTGCTCAGAAGCAGATCCTCCGAACTAAAAATAACCAAAATTCCTTTATTGCGTAACAAAAAAGACCATGACTTCTGTTGAGCAAGTTCTTCCTTCCAATATTCAAACAAAGACTGTCGAAAGTACATAGAACCACTCACACTTTACAGTTTAGGTGGAGATTAATTCATTTTCTTAGAGCGGTAGCTGTGAGCGTCAATGATACATGGACGCCAGGAACTTCAACACAAGAGTGAACCCCGCCAATGTAGATGCAGTGTCGTAAGAAATGGTTCATTAGCCTGTATCTGACGGCCATTATTAACCATCGAGGTCATCTCCAGGAAACTATGATTCTTTCTACCAGGTATTTATTAAATTGGAGTTGCCTATAGAGATTAAAAATAGTAAGCCTCCGCATTTTTATATAATATATACTTTTCTGTCTCGGGGGTTAGCCCATGGCGAGGGTTAGCCTCCAAACGACTAAAACCTAGGTTTCTTTACGTTGAGACAGCAGAGCTGTAGCTCTCGAGCCCTTCACAATTAGAAAACACTATACGTCATCTAGAGACCACAATGAACGATTCATCGCCCCGTGTCCGTCACTTAGGCTTCCATTATGGAATTTGGAGGAAGCCAGCTTCTCTCACTGCAATTACTAAAGTACAATTCGTAATTCGCTTTCTGTACTCTTGAACCTTTGTGTTAGCTTTAGTGGCAACATTAAATTAAAATTTAAAGTCAAAGTTTGTCCATTTTACTAACTTTGAAGGCTCTATGTTTTTGGTTGGCTCTAAGTTTGTCCATTTTACTAACATTGAAACATCTATGTTTGTAAAGTAGTAAAAAAATTGTTATAATAAGTGTTGAAAATTCCTTTAATTAACTCATTTCTTAACAGCTCCTTTATCGTGTAAATCGATGAATCGACTGAATTATAGACATTAATAGGATTTCTGGTATATTAAAATCACTTTTAAAGACTATCCATTAAATTGTTATATAGATCTTACCGTAGTGGTTCCCCATCCAACAGCCCATACAGCTTGATTATCACCGAGGTTGTAGGTGGGACCAGCTATACTGCCAGCTTGAACATTGTTGTTGAGAGAGAAGGTGGAGGAAGCACGCAATATAGCGACATCGTTGTTAATTGTACGAGCATTGTAGTCTGGATGGTTAATGATCTGAGCAGTGTTGTAAACGGTACCACCACTGTTGGCCCATGTTGAACCAACACGTATACGCCATCTGTTAGCGGTGTCCCATCTGTGAAAAAAAGTTTTGCCGTTAGTATTTATTGTTAATGAAACTGATGTAAATCGTAAGGCAATTAATAGACGTACATCGTGCAGTGAGCCGCGGTGAGGACAGCTCTGTTGTTGATAATGGTTCCACCACAAGCTTGCCAATACAATGGAATTTAGTTAACAAATTCCATTGTAACAAATCCGCCGACAATCTTTTGTTACTTCGCGGGCACAGCTGAAAATTAATAACATACTTATTAATTTTGATCATCATTATTTGTTCTGAATTTTGAAGGTTTAATTTTTGAAATTATCTAATTTCTCTTGGTTGTCGTTCAGCGGTGGACTGTATTTTACGGTTATTTTGATTTGACTAAAATGGATAATTTTTGAGGTGTCTCATTCGCAAAAAATACTTCAAAAATTACAATAAATAATAAATATATATATATATATATATATATATATATATAATACCGGAAGGAACATGCAATATAAATCATTGACTTTATTTAGCCCAGTTTATAAAATCGATGATGTAAACATTTTTGGCCTTACTTAATAAATAACGTACGAAATGCCATTATTAGCAATACTTTGCATCTGTGGTAACTACTTATTTTTTATTAGTTTAAGTAATAACTTAAAGCCTTGGATTACACCCGGTCTAATAAAGTATATGAATCATATTGACAAACTACACCTGATGGCAAAGTTTTCTTCAAAAACTTCATATAAAAGACATGGGTATTTTTGTAACAATTTATTTAAAACTTGAAGTATATTTGTCTTACGTACTTACTGGAAGAGTCTGCTTAAGATGATAAAATATTTAGCGACATGTAAAAGATATTGAATTTATATTCAATTTTTTTTATTTATATCCTTGTAGTACCACTGGTATTGGGGGACAAAAGATACATTTCCAATTATCGACCTATCTCAATACTGAGAGTATAGAGATCAACGTCTAAAACAATAGAAATATTAATTAATATTAGATTAATGATTAGTTTACAAAGTAAAACCATATAATCGAATATGGAATATGGTTTCAGAACAAAACTGTCCATTGCTGATGTTGTTTTCCTATCAGTACTCCATTTTTATACGTGGGAGTCGGAATCGGATCTCTCAACACTCCAGAACCTTTGCTAGCTTTGACAGTAACACTAAAATATAATTTATAAAAACACTGTTTAAGATCAAACTAAGTTCGTTCATTTGACTACCTTACGAGGCTTACATCTGTGTTAGTTATAAAATAAAATAATTTGAAAATATGAAAATTAAATGATTATGTCTTTGATCGGCTTATCGCTTCATGCATCATTGAACGTATAAATCGATAAAATGACCAAAGCCTAACGGTTATAAATTGGGATTACTAGTGTTTAAGATATTTTTAAAGATAACCGATTAATGATTTCTTAAATTTACGCGAACACTACACATTGAATAAAACTAAATTTACGGATTTTATCGCGTTTAAAAAGGGACAAAGAGCACACACCATGGAAGGGGGGGGGAAGAAAACTCAAAAAAAGGGGTCCGGTCCCCCCCAAAAAAAAAAACTCCATTTCACTACTTTTACTTATTTTTAATTCCCGACGTTTCGAGTGCTTTACAGCAACCATGGTCACGGGGGGGACTGAGATGTTTGACGTCCCAATGTCATAGTTAGTCCAGCTACCTTCAGTTTTTGAATATTAATTTTTGGTCCGATTTACGCAAAACGAGCTTATAGTATCATGAAGTCTTGAAGTGGTATGCTTAGGTTTGGGTTTAATTTTGTTAATTATAGGATCCCAAGCAGGTGGCAGCACCCATCCATCTTGTCTATTGAAATTTGGATGTTTTTTAATTTCAATAGCCTCGCGTATCATCCTTGGTAGGAATCGGTGTTCTTTTGCGAGAATTTGTGGTTTATCAAAATGAATGTAATGGTGGGGACGATCTTGAACATGATCGCAGATTGCAGACTTCCCGGAGCGTCGGTGCTTCACGTCAGCTATATGTTCTTTCACGCGGGTTTTTACGGATCTTTTTGTTTGACCTATGTAAGAGAGACCACATTCACAATCTAACTTGTACACTCCTGCATCTTGTAGAGGGATATTACACTTGACGGATGGTAAAAATTGACTAATCTTCTTCGGCGGCTTGTAGTATGTTTTAATAGAAGCTCGCTTCAAGATGTAGCCAACCTTGTCTGTGACTCCTCTGACATATGGTAGTACAGCAGGTACACGCTCGACTGTGGCCGGCTTCACTCGGTCACTGTGACGTAGGCGCGGGACCCGAAGCTTGTTGTCTTGCAATACTTGCTTGACGTGCTGAAGTTCGGCGGCCAGATGTTTTCTGTCACAGATCCCTCGTGCTCTCTGAAACAAAGATTTACCCACGGTAGCTAACTGTGAAGGATGATGGTGAGATTAACCATTTAAATATCGGTTGGTATGGGTCTTTTTTCTGTAAACAGTGTGACCAATTGTGTTATTAGGATTTCGAATGACTAAAACATCTAAGAAAGCTAAAGAATTATTTGCCTCTAACTCCATTGTGAATTGTATTTTAGAGTTTATAGAGTTAAGGTGGTTTAAAAATGCAGTTACTTTGTCAGATGGTAAAATTGTGAAAGTGTCGTCTACGTACCGCTTGTAGAATCTTGGATTTAACAGGAGCAGTAAGAAGGGCTTTCTCCTCGAAGTCCTCCATGAATATGTCAGCGACTATGGGAGATACAGGTGAGCCCATCGCCACACCATCTACTTGCTTGTAGAACTCTTCCTTCCACAATAGATAGCCAGATGTGAGGCAGTGTTTGAGTAATACTGCATATTCAGCAGGCATGTTATTATATTCTAGCTTCCTAGTTACAATTGATATGCAGTCTTCAATAGGTAGGCATGTGAATAGTGACTGAACATCAAAACTGACCATAGTTTCATTGTCAGCGAGATGTAGGTCTTTTATCTCACTAACAAAATGGTATGAATCCTTTATGAATCCGTTATGAATCCTTTGTGTGTGCTCTGGTATGAGACCACTTCAAGACTTCATGATACTATAAGCTCGTTTTGCGTAAATCGGACCAAAAATTAATATTCAAAAACTGAAGGTAGCCGGACTAACTATGACATTGGGACGTCAAACATCTCAGTCCCCCCCGTGACCATGGTTGCTGTAAAGCACCCGAAACGTGGGGAATTAAAAATAAGTAAAAGTAGTGAAATAAACGCGACAAAATCCGTAAATTTAGTTTTATTCAATAACCGATTAAATTGGTTTTAAAATCTAACGGAAGTGTTTCCCCATCCAATAGCCCATACAGCATGATTGACACCGAGACCATAGTTGGATCCAGCAATACTGGCAGCTCAAACATTGTTGCTGCAACAGAAAGTGGACGCAGCACGCAATACAGCGACATCATTGTCAAGTGTGCGACCATTGAAGTTAGGGTGTCTGATGTACTGAGCAGAATTTTAAACCATACCACCACTGGTGGCTCATATGGAACCAACATGCATACGCCATCTGCTAGGTAAGTCACCGCTGTAAAGAAAAGATTTACCATCGGTGTTGTTTTTTTATAAAACTTTTATCTATAGGTATATATTTAGGATAATCTTCTGCTTATCAAATGTCGCTAGATGGTACTGAGATGAAGTTATTTGTTACACGGTTGCATTAATATTGAAAAGGTACATTTTAAAGAAAAGAAATATTGGTACATATTGTATTTATATACACAAAATATTGCAATATACTCGTTAATCGTTTTCTACACATTTTAACTCTATCTTTTTCTCTCCTCTCTCTTTTTCTACTTTTGGGAATATCCGTAGTTCGGCTTATTAATTTTTAATCTAATGAATATACATTTTAACTAATATTTCAGATAGAAACATTAGCCTTTACTTTCTTCTACAATTTAACTTTTCCGCTATGAAATCTGTCAGATATTTCACCTCATTCTAAAGAGGCGCTGCCCTTTTGATAGAAAAAATTTTAAAAGTCCTTAATACTATTTACTTACAGGAAACAGTGAGCTGCAGTGAGGAAAGTCTCAATCAAGTCAATCTGTTGTTGATAATAGTACCACCACAAGCTTGCCTATAGGTAAATAAATTACACGTGTACGACAAAGCTGCTGCAAAAGGATATTGCTCGATTGTTGTAACGTCGATCTTCTGTTCCTTATCGGGGACAGCTGAAATATAGTAAACATTAATTTAATTTTGACCCTCATAAATTGCCATATATTTTAGGCATGCCTTTATATTATACTCTAAAACTAGTATAATCAAAAAAGAGACATGGTAGCTCAGGAGTCAACCGCTCACTGTAAATTTCACAGTACGCGAGCAACCCTGGTTCGATCCCCGCCGGCACCAATGAAATTGTTAATTGCAATTTTAAGTCCTAATATACCACGTACTGTTTACTTCTACTATTTATAGATGTATCAAAGCAGAAAACTTCAGTAATATACATTTTAACGTTATTTAAGTACTTAAAATTTAATTTGAAATTCAATCTGCCCCTCTTCCCCCTATAGCTTCCAAGAACGAACAACACAAGAGAAGTCACGCGTGACTATCTAATCCTTTCGTTATTTATTACAATGCCGATGATTTTGTCAGTCGCTATAGATTTTCATAACATATTGTTATGAATACGTTCAAAGATATTCTTTGCCCGTGTTCATCAACATTTCAATCTCTACTTTTAAATGCAGGTTATTATAAAGATAAAATTAAATTTATAACCGTGAGTCAGACAAAAAATTATTGTAATGTAATTTTTTACATGTTTCCAAATATGCGCTAAAATTGACGGGCTTGTTTGCGTGAGAGATTCGTTTTCCCTTGCGCTGGCTGTCTTGTGTGCGGGCCCCCCCCCCCACGCACACAAGACAGCCAGCGCAAATCTTTAAACAGGTATCCCCATACCTGTTTAAAGATTTTTAATAGAATAGGGGTGACAAACGAGCACACATTTCACCTGATGGTAATTGGATGCTGTGAATCAAAATGCACGTCTTGATACTCCTGAGGACTGCGATTGAATGTCTCGTTTTGAATAAAAAAAGTATCTGGTCCTATACACGCATCATACGAAAAACAGCGGTATTAGACTGCTATTTCACTCTGTTATTCAATGAGATTTATTCGAGAAGGACGACCCGCGTCTGTGAGTCAAGTGTGGTTAGTCTTAAGGTAAAAACGCCAGCTGCACAAAGCGCGCCATATTATCATGTATTGCTAGGTTTTGGGATGTCATGGGATTTGTTGCACCTGTGGTACTGTAGGCTAAGCTTTTGATTAAACAACTTTGGTTATGTGAATGTGATTGCGATGACACACAGCCTGACAACATTGTTCGTTCATGGCTACTCTTTAAAGAGAAAATCTTTTTACTAACTTGGCAAGAACCAAAATAGAGCTTTGCTCAATTTGTATTTTAAAATCTATACAAAATTCTCTATCCCGTTGTCTAAACAAAAGTCAGGTTTTACTTCATTACAGAAAGATTTTTCTGTATCTTGATAAAAAAAAATACATACCAAGCGGATGTCGGCAGCGTGAAAATCACAAATATATATATAAATATATATATATATATATATATATATATATATATATATATATATATATATATATATCATCATCATTACAGCCCTTCACAAGTCCACTGCTGAACATAGGCCTCCCCCAAGTAATGCCACAAAGCACGGTCCTGAGCCACCTGCATCCATCGACTTCCTGCATGTCTTACCAGGTCGTCACTCCATCTAGTGGGGGGTCGCCCTACACTACGCCTACCGGTACGAGGCTGCCACTCGATAACCTTTCTTCCCCATCGGTTATCGGTTCTTCGAGCTATATGGCCGGCCCATTGCCACTTCAGCCTACTAATCCGTTGGGCTATGTCGGTCACTCTGGTTTTACTGCGGATATCCTCATTTCCGAGTCCATCACGCAGAGAAACTCCGTGCATAGCCCTCTCCATAGCTCGCTGAGCGACCTTGGGCGTCCTCATACGACCAGCAGTGAAGGACCACGTCTCAGATTCGTAAGTCATCACTGGCAACACGCACTGGTTGTACAATTTAGTTTTTAGAGATTGAGGTATACCTGACCAGAAGATATGTCGTAATTTCCCGAACGCTGCCCAGCCGAGTTGAATCCGTCGATTGACCTCTCGGTCGAAGTTGGACTTACCTAGTCCGACTATTTGTCCCAGGTAAACATACTCGTCAACAACTTCGAGCATAGTGCTCCCAACAACTACCGGCATAGGTGTGACATGGACATTAAACATGATCTTTGTTTTGTCCATGTTCATCTTAAGACCTATCCGTTGGGAGGCACTATTGAGGTCATTGAGCATAGTGCTTAAGTCCTCCAGCGATTCTGCCATAAGGAATAATCGAAGGTGAGTGATGTATTCGCCATTGATGTTAATACCGTATGCTTTCCAGTCCAGTAGCTTGAAAACGTCTTCCAAAGCAGCGGTGAAGAGTTTCGCGGATATAACGTCACCCTGTCTTACACCTCTCTGCAGTTGGATAGGTTTCGAGCTCTGGTTCTGTACTCGGATAGCCATCGTAGCCCTACTGTACAAACACTTCAGCACTTCGATATACCGACAGTCAACTTGGCACCGCTGAAGGGACTGCAGCACCGCTCAAATTTTGACGGAATCAAAGGCTTTCTCATAGTCCACATACGCCAGGCAAAGAGGCAAATTGTACTCTTCAGTCTTCTGTACACTCTGCCGCAGGGTATGTATGTGGTCTATGGTACTGAAGCCTTTTCGGAAACCGGCTTGTTCGGGAGGCTGGAAGTCGTCGAGTCTGCGTGCGAGACGATTCGTAATGACTCTCGAAAACAGCACGTAGACGCGGCTCAGAAAGGAAATCGGTCTGTAGTTCTTCAAGAGAGCGTTGTCGCCTTTCTTAAAGAACAAGACCACCGCACTTCTGCTCCACGCCTCTGGAGTAGTGCCACCATGGAGGACGGAATTGAAGAGCTTCTGAAGGACTTCCAGTACCGGTGTTCCACCCGCTTTCAGAAGCTCCGCTGCAATTCCATCCTCGCCTGGGGCCCTGCCGTTTTTAAGGTGCTGGAGAGCCATTCTAATCTCGCTTAGACTAACGTCCGGGATATCATCGGGATATATATATATATATAAATAAAAAATAATATATAATTACTTAATTACGAATTTATTTACGTAAAAAGATAAATTATTATATTCACGCAAAAACTTTCACTACAATTTTATAATAAAACACTATACTAAAACACTAGAAAAATCCAAAAATCAACACAATAACATTCACACGAATATGGCGTACGAAATTAACGTAGATTATAAATAACTATCCGTCGACTAACTGACTCTTTATTCCACAAGAGGATAGAAAATTTCATATTGATTCTATAATGCCAAACTTCTTCACAGAAAAGTAGTCTCTAAAGGTAAGTATTTATGGGTTAAAGTGGTGTGTGGTCACATTTGACCTCCTGAACTTTTACGGAATATCGCCGCGGTCAACTTGAACGCTTGGTAGCTAAGATGTTATATCCCCGCTGCAAGTATTTTGGGGGAAATTGTGAGACCAATAGTAAAAGAATTAAGCACTGTACTCGCACAGAGCAAGTGCGTTATGAATAGTTGCCCTTTATACCATATGCTTTCTATTGACCCCTAGGATCCACCTGCTTTAAAACCGGCACATTTTTTAATCCTACCTCTTTGAAGTACCTACCCGCTATAGATGTAGACGATGATAAAATCCATGTTCTTTCACGTTATAACTTATTGGAAAAGTTGCAGTTGCGGTAGAAATAAAAAAAACAGCAGTTAACCTATTAGCGGTCAAAACTGTAGTTATTCTCACTAAAGAGAATGCGTCCCCTCGTCATTGGCCATTAGGAATCGATGAAGAAGTTTTTCCTGGATCCGATGGAGTAACGAGGATAGCACGTGTTAAGACAGCGAACGGGTCATATTTGCGTCCTATTGTACGTCTCTGTCCTTTACCTAGCCAATAGTTTTCGAATTGCTTTTTTAGATTAGGTTAGTAGTTTAAATTAGGTCTTAGCAGTAGCTTTATTTAGTTTGAAGGGAACCCTTCCAGCCGGGGGTGCATGATTGTGCCAACCCACACCTGTTGGAGCGCCTGCGCATTCTTTTTGAGCAAAGAATTAAACAACGTACTTGTAATAATTACGTCCGTATTTAACGTTAATTTTAAACAGGGTCTTTGTCTTTGCAATCATCATTACCCTCTCAGCTGTTGTAAGATCAATACAATCGTCCAAGACCACATTCAAGTTGCATTATTTAAAATTCCCGTGAACTCCCGAGCATGGTCCTGGATCGTCGCCGGATATAAAATAATAAGCACCAGAATTTATATTATACTCGTATATGGTAAATTTAGTGGAGTTTACGTTGGAATCAAATTTGGAGTTACGTGGCCGCCATCAAGAATGTGGGTCAATTGGAAGT